CGCTGACTTTCATTTAGCTTTAAATAACGTTGAATCATCAATCCAATTCACGCATGAGGTTGAACAGAACGGTGCGCTGCCTTTTCTGGATGTTAATGTGTTCCGAAATAGTAACGGTCGCTTAGATACAACAGTGTACCGCAAAGCTTGCGATACAGGCAACCTCTTAAACTTTACCTCGCACCATTTTGTCGAACATAAAAGGGCCGTCGTAAAAACCTTACTACATCGGTCCGAACGCATTTCTTCTAATCCTCAATTGCGCGCTTCTGAGGATGCAGTTATTGTTGACCTGTTAATGAAGCGGAATTATCCGAAACGTTTTATTGATAACACGCGCAAACAGATGGGGCAAAGAAGAAGTGAGGATAATGGACGAATTAGGACAGGGCAAGTAACAATACCCTATTTGAGACGTGTTTCTGAGTCTATTCGCAGGGCCCTCGCCCCTTTGAATATCCGCACTGCTTTCAAACCCCATCGTAAACTACGCGACCTCATTTCTAAACCTAAAGATGACACCCCCCCCCCCCCCAGAGTCCCAGTGCGGTGTTGTGTATGGTAACCGGACAAAAGCTCACCGGACAAAAGCTCACCGGACAAAAGCTCACCGGACAGAAGCTCACCGGACAAAAGCTCACCGGACAAAAGCTCACCCGTTTTTTGACAGACCCGGACAAAAGCTCACCCGTTTTTTGACAGACCCGGGCAAAAGCTCACCTCGATTTCTTTTTTTTTTTTCCTACCCGAGCGAAACACGGGCTGAAATAAAGTGCGGACGCAATGGACATTGGACCATTTTTAGGAGAACTTGTACCTCATCCACCATTGAGTTGCGAATTTTTTTTTTAAATACTTTGAAAGAACGGGAGTTCGGCCTTTTAGAAAAGTACAAGACATAACCAATTAAAAAAAAATTGTGCGGGATTTTAGATAGGCTCGGGTTCCTTCCACCACAGCTTGTTCTACAAGAACTAACCACCAGGGAAAAGTCTACCGGTGACATCGGCTACCTGCTGGACTATTTTGATTGCACGTATTTCAACAGCCGCTTCCGTTATGCTTCTGTTCCATCTGCGGCGGCACTCAGAGCGAATTCTTCCCTTCGCCTGTCCCTGCGCCGACGGCGACCGGAGTTTCCCCCGGTACGGTGAAATATACACCTGCGAAAGATAAAGTACCAGGTTCCAGAAGCTCGTCGGCCACGCCCATCCAAGCGTCTTGAGGCTGATTGAATGCCTACAGCAAAATCGGGCGCTCGTTGCCACGGCATTGACAGAAGCGCGGAGAGGTGAGCCCACCGTAAAGCGGGTGCGAAAAATTACTCTGCACCTGCAGAATCGTCTTAGAAATATTTGCGAGGGCTTGCATGTACATCGAGATCTACCAAGACTGCTTGAGCTAGTGGGGGACTGCATTCGCTTCTAACCAATCGATAAACTTGTTTCTACTAAAATCAACAAACCATGCGCCTGTCAGATTTAATTTATCGTTGCCTTTTTGTGTCGCACGCATGCACCTAAGTTGTCCGCACTCGTGTTAAGACCAACATGAAATTTTCTCGTGGTGAGCTTTTGTCCGGGTCTGTGAAAATATGGGTGAGCTTTTGTCCGGGTCTGTGAAAAAATGGGTGAGCTTTTGTCCGGTGAGCTTTTGTCCGGTGAGCTTCTGTCCGGTGAGCTTTTGTCCGGTGAGCTTTTGTCCGGGATTCGTTGTGTATAAAGTGGAGTGTCTAAACTGTGACGCATCCTACATTGGGGAGACAGGCCGGAAGCGCTGCACTCGCTTAAACGAACACAAAAGGGACGTGGCGAAGGCCACGCGTGCGACAAGAGCGAAGACGGAACTCGTAGACCGTTGTTGGACTACGGGTCACTGTTTCGACTTTGAGAATGCGTCCACTCTGGCGCGCGAACAAAGGTGGGGTCCACGCAGGTTCGTGGAATCATGGTTCATCCGAAGTGACTCATCAGCTTGCAATTCCAACCGCGGCCCCCTCCCCGATGTGTACGCGGACTTGCTTAAATAGGACTGTTGAAGTTTTTTCCCTCATTGCTGCTTGTAGGTTTCACTGACGATGTTTCCCGGATGGGAGACGAAACGTTTGATTAAATTGTTAATCTTGTTGAGTAAAGTCGGAGCAGTTTTTTTTATCATTATGATTCCCGGCTTTTGGAATATTTTTGCATTTCTGGGGACTACCAAAATGCATTCTGAATGTCCCGTAATGAGGCAGACAGCCAACAACTGAAGTACGGAGCCGTTCCCGAAGTGATGCCCATTCCTTACACAATGCGTGATAAGGCAGCAAGTCTCTCATACAGCCCGGACTATACGATTCAACCCAGCGATCACGCTCAAGAGCTGACAACCATAAAAAATCACTCCTGCTGAGAAAAAAAAATAGTGCGCTGTTTTTTATACGATTATTGCAGTATTATGTTCCCTCTCCGCGAACAATTAACATTTTTTGACTACTCTCATTTGATGTTTTATCAACTGCAAGAGCATACACATTTTGTAATACTAACAGCGTTTGCAACCTGAACGAAATGTCGCGCTTTCCTTGGTCACAAGTCGTCTTGGCTGCCGGAACAATGCTCCTCCCATAACCGAAGATTACCTGGCTGTGTTCAATATTTGATTGTTTTTATAATAAAAAAACTAGCCACTTATCGTCATGATTCAGGGATTTCTAAGATTCTTAGAACCAGCAGAATGAGTTAACACCATATCGATCTCGAAAACCTCTGTGGTCACGCACGCAGCAACGTGCTGCGGCTTCCGAGAGAAAATATCTCCACTCGACTCGAGCGGCTCCTGAGAGCTTCGGATTACGATACCCGACTCAGGTGCCGCTTAGGCGGCGGAACTTGCCGCAGGCTTGAATCAGTTCCGCGAAATATCCGGGTTGCATAACATTGGATAATATCCCGGCAAGCTCATCAACGCACCGCGGATACTGCTCTCTCGCCTAGTTGCCGTATTGCCTCGCCAATGCACGACTTCACGAAGCCGCGAGGCAACCCTCCGCTTGAGGGTATAAAAGAATACAGCGTAAGTTCACCAGAGAGACTGCACAGGGAGATTTCACGACATAACGGCACCAGACTACGAAGTCTTCTCCTCGCCTTCGACCACATCTTAACTGAATAAAAAGTTAGTGTTCCTACCAACCGTACCGGACCGTTTTAACTTCGAGTCTGGAACAATGCAAGGCGCTACACCTCCTTAGGGCACCTTTAACACCTTGAAGGAAAAGATAACGAGAGGAAATTTAAAAAAAAAGAACACGTTGTATTATTTTTCTTTAAGCTTTTATTATTCAAAGCTCTAGTTCAGATCAGAAAAATAGGAATAACTGTATAAGGAGAAACAGGGATAGTGAATAGCACCAGAAGATACAAATATCTTTTGTTCCACATAAAAATGCTGACAGCAATATATTAATTATATAAAAGCAGCACTTGCGACACAAATGTTTGATGCATTACAGAGTAGAAATTAATAAAAATAATGCTTTAAATTTAAAACAAAGTACCCGGTCAATGCAGTAAAGCTTCCCGTGCAACACCACGCAAGATAGAAAAAAGGTAATAATTGGCGGACATTACAAAAGGAAACAGGTTTTGTGCATATATATGGTACACTTCGTATTGGCAACACCTGAACAATTACAGTGTGGGGTAAAACAAACAGTCAGTCACTTCTTAGACAAGATACGTATAAGAAAACACACTTTATATCAGGGGTGCACAACAAAAAATTGGGCGCGCCACATTTACGTTTAACGAAAACTGTGAGGGCAACGTGTTGCATATTCTGGCTGCGTTCAGGCTTCCAATATCAGGTGTCATCGCACTCGTTACTGTCTTTAGCAGATCTCGCAATGTCATGTACGTCATGGCAGATCGAAGGTGGTTCTTGGTGAGAGTCATCAGTGCGAGGGTCTCCTCGCAAACATTAGTGCTCCCGAAAAGTGACGACAGTTTCAAGGCGTGGTTCACCAGGTTTATGTACTTGTTCTTGTCCAGGTTTTTGTTGAACTCATGCAATTGAGATTCGCGATGAATAGCCTTGTGCGCTGGTGGACACTGGAGGTCGATGAGCTCCAGTTGCAATGTCGGATCGGAGTCCTCCGACGATGCAACTCCTAAGAATCCCAACAGGAGGGGAGAGGCTTGATAGCCTCCGTGGTGAAAGAGAGAAGAGGGTCTGTTGAGAGAGAGCAAAAAGCTGTCGCGTTCCGTGTACAGGCCTATTGAAACAGAACCACACTACAGTGATGACTGCACACGCTACCTTATTGTTAGCGGGATTACTGGAGAGGGAAATTTTGAACTGAGCATCGTAGTTCCTTCGATGAAGACAGAAAAGTAGGTCAGAGGGTTTCAATACTGTTTGCCAAGCCAACGGCGTTCGCCAAGCAAAGCAGGCGCTCAGTAGATTGAAGGGAACAGTAAGCAACTTTCTGCGCTGAGCTGGGCTCACCTCTGACCTCGTTCTTGGACTAGTAGACCATGATTTCACCGGCAGCGAGGTTGCCGCAAAGTCAGGATAATTTGGTTCGCTATGATGATTCTTGTGGTAGCAAGGCACCGACAGGCGACGAGCTTAGGAAAAGAGTAACAAAAGTGTAGCGATCTGGGCAAGGAATGTTCCTACAGAGGCGAATTTTGTTTCTTCCCACTGAGATTTAAGAAGGCCGTGCTAACTATTCGGGCGTTTTGAAATGATGCAGCTGGGAGCCCAAGAGGTGATAACTCTGTTCGTGCTGCACTTTCTTTTTTCGGTCTATATTTTGTGGTTACAAACTCACTCCGAACACTTTACAATAATCCATCAGACAATCAGATGTCTGAAGGCCCGACTGACCATCTGCCTGATGTTCCTTTCAATGAAGCTGGTCTGCCTCTGCGGTAGCTGCAATATTATAGTAAATACGCAGACTGTGACTTTTCCCATAAAAATACCGGTCTTTCTCGAAGGCCTGATGATCATCAGGTCTGGAGAACAGTATGCCGAGTCATGCGAATGTGCGGTGAGCGAAAGCGGGCGATCACGTGACTAACTGCGAAAGTCAGCAAGCTGAAGACGACTCCGACCACCCAGATGACAAAGCAGGGCCGGAGGTCACTCAGTTCCAGTGCTACGTCTCCGGTCTCCGAGGGCCGTTCGTACTTGAATTCACGCCTAACCCTACTCTTAAACTTCGCTATTCGTTCCGCATGTTCAAACAGACCGGCTTCGAAAACACGGCCGAGGAGTTTGTTTATCGATTTGAAGTAGGGCGAACTTGATCTTATCTGAGGTCCCGTGATTACGGGTGAGAAGATCGCGTCGGTCTCAACGAAGCCGCTACGAAACAGCTCGTCCTTGAGACTCGCAGCCTTGTCGCAACTAGGCCTGTAAACGATAATGGTATGCGTGCCCCCTCTCACTCGGAGATTTCCTGATTTGTCTAAGCAGTCAAAATGCTGGGGTTTCTTATAATTTTTTGCTTCTCCGGAGCGCGCATACCAATCTAGCAGGCCTTCTTCTGGATAGTTTAGGAAGCAAACGCCAGGCAATCTTTCAGAAACGTCCTTTGCGGACTCGTAATGGAGAAGCTCTCCGCCCAGCGGTACGTTACATAACAGGGAGGTGATAACTCCTTTGTACCCTGTGGCCAATACAGTTACCATCAAAGACCAAACCCCGAAAAGAATCCTAAACGAGTAAAATGTATCAGCCTGTGAAGGCGTGGGGTACGCTTGCTGCACCAAGGACACCGCGAAAGGAGCCGCGACCGAGTGAAAACCTGTATTAGTCCAACGGACGCTGTGGGTGACGAAGAAACTGATCAGCGAGCAAAGAATGAAGCAGGCTAAAAGAGCCACCCAGACAAGGATGCCGAACGGCTTGAAGACGACAACTTCCTTTGGCAAAGGCTTCAGCGCTCTAACATACGTTGCGAAGCTGGCTCTGTCGAAATAAAACAGCGTCGATATCGTTGGAAACCAGAGATCCTGTAGAAGAGCATATGGAAAATAAAAAATCGTTCCTGGATCAAACATGTGTTTCGGTAAGTAATATATGGAGCCTTCTAAAAGATTTATGTGTTTTATTTCCAAAGAACAGTTGTAATGAAGCAAACTATCCGTTAACGTGCGATGCGATGGACTTTGGCAAATCAACGGCTCCGAGCACGCGATGGTAATTCCTCGTCCACGAATAGATATGTCTCTGGTTAGTTTAACGGGAAGGTAACGTTGGTCATTTGGTGTGCAGTTCAGGCACCTAACTTCGTAACTTCCAGCCATCAGTATCTCCTGATCATGCACGACAATGCGAAAATCAGCCCCGCGCCGAAGCTTTTCTAAATTATCCTTTCCTTCAAGATGTAAGTAGTCCCCACTCAAATTGAGTTCGCGCAGGTTGCTGGGTTCTGTGACTATAATCGCCCAGTACCGATGGGGATGCAAACTAGCATACGCCGCACTAGCTCTACAAAATATGTGCAGCGCAACGTGTCGGCTTTCGACGACGGGGCAGGTGAGTGGGCTGCAGTAGCCCCTAATTTCGCTGGTGATTTTTGGCGAAGTTGGTAGCACCTTTAGGAGCTGGGTCAGCAGTCGGATTTCTTCCACTCCAAACTCTGGCGGTAGCATAATGTCCAGGTACGCCGAGCTAGACGCGCCGAGAAGCAGGTTTCGAAAGCCACGGGAATTCACGATGCCCTTCCAGAGCGGACACTCTTCGGGCCCGGTGGTCGGCGTTGTGGCCTGGAACGCCTGTAGCAGAAGAACTGCCATCAGCGTTGCCAAACTGGAATGCATTATGCGAAAAGGTCCGCTGATGTTCGAATAAACAGACGATTCTTCGTTCGGTGACTGGACACTGAGGTTGACAAAAAAAAAAAAAAAAGTTATGGAGACTTTTTTATTCCGAGATGAAATTCGCATTGAAGTGAACCTGGCACGATTCTGAGAATTGTATGGTGTGTCCACAACAAACTGTTTACGAACCCCTATGGTGTGTTTGTAATCACATCTCGCTTATAGCAATCTGAGACACGCCATGCCATGTTTAGATTAGCGCGCTATTTCATCCGTGTAACCCAATCATCCTTAATGGATGGCTAGAGAACTTTATCGATAGAAGCCAAAAGGTTTTATATTGTGTTTGTTTTATTCGTTTCCAGGCGAAGTATATGTTTTGAACACTTCCCAGGGGCGATTTGATAATGAATTCGGGTATCTCACGCAGAGTGCCGAACCGGAAGCGAATCGAACCGAAAACCGGGACCGAATCGTTATTTTTAGCCGAACCGAAACTGAACCGAACTAAAATCTTTGCAGCTATCTCGGAACTGAACCGGAACTTAACTTAACCGGAATAAAATATAACGGTAACCGGTTCAAAACGGTTCACGGCAATTTTTTTATTACCTGTATTTATTAGTATACTAATAAATACAGGTACAAATTGTATATACCGAATTACAATGCATGAGACATTGTGGGTTTCCGTGGCGTTCTTATATTGGCACTGTGGTTAATCACCTTTCGCGAGGTCACGTCACGTAGTCCCGTGACGTAGTCACGTCACTCGCTTGATCAAGTTGACTTAAGCTTAGAACGGATTCATTAGCATTGTTGCCACCGTGACGTCACATGGCGTCACAATTTCTCACCGCGAGTCACGCGGCACCGTGATGTACTCGATTGTCATGAGCCTGAGCCGAGTGCTCGGGTTTATGATAATCAGCATCGCCAAACGTTCGGGTAATGCCTCGTGTTTCATCAAAGATGAGAATAGCCGAACTCCAACCATGTCTGAAGCTCAATCCACGCTTTATTCTTTGCCAACCCCAGTGCATGACTATGCTGAACCCAGACAGCATACTTTAATGAGCGTCAGATCACGTGGTCGCTTGTTCTAATATCGAGTTCAGAAAAGGAAAGCTGTTTTTTTCCTTTAATAGTTTTCTTTGTCTGCCATTGAGAGAAATGGAAAACTAAAGGGTGTTTTTGCAAGTTATCAACGGCAGGGATTAGCTCTTAGCGGTATTTACTGAAAGTGCTAAAATTGTTGCATGACCCTGTTTATACATGTACACATCATTGAGGCACCCAAACATGTTTTTGTTTTTGCTGAACTGTCTCAGAACGTTGTCACCGACAATAGAAGCATTGAAATGACTAAATGTGACTTATTAATTCCACGATAAAGAGAACTACAAGTTTGTACGTAAGGAATACTCGGAAAAAAAAAGACCTTGGTGGCTTTAGAGGGACAGCTGAACTTTGGTGGCCGCTCTAAATCTCACAGGAGTGTCGTTCTGAAGTTCTTCCCCAAACTGTGACCACGTCCGTACTTTTTTTTTAACTTAACAATTTTTGGTTCAAAATAAAAAAAAAAAAAAAAAAAAATTGAGGGTTGTTTTTAACAAATGACAATAATGTGATCGTCCATTTAACACCCCCAAACGCAGGAGGGAGTCCCTCAGGAATAATAAGTATTCTCTGGGAGAGCATCGAAAAAAGCTATAAAAAACTTTCAGCCTTTCCACTCTGGTGAAGACGAAAGACCAGCGAAGCTGTACATATCGTGGAAATGAAGTAATGGCCGGCCGCAAGTCGGCAAGCCAGAGTGGAAAGGCTGGAAAGGCTGCCGCCATCTATGAGCGACGGCGGTAACCAGGCACCCGGCAAGCCGGTTGTCTGGTTGCCGCCGTCGCTCATATATGGCGGTAGCTGTCCAGAGTGTTTTTGTCGACATTTGTTTGCTGACGGACACGATCCTGGGAAAACTAGCCCTTAACAGCAGCTCCGCTATAAAAAGAAGGGGGGAGGGGGGGGGGGGGGGGCGGGGTGGGATGTAAAAACATACTGTGCTCTGAAGGTTCCTCTGCTCCGCATCTTCGGCACAGACCAGAAAGCGTGGTCCCGGAAAATTCTGTGTTAGCAAAAACACTGCTGCCAGAAAGCGCGTTTTCGGGGTGCCAGACGCTCGCGCCGTTCTTCACAACGCTGCACCAAGCAGGAATAATTGTTTTTTTTCTTTATTGCCGGATTATGACACGTCAAAACAGAAAACACACCCAGAACACAAAACGAGTGATAATGCTAAAATTGCTAGCTGGCCTCGGCTAGCATTATGGGGTTAAAACTTGCTCATTTTCAACAACTTTTCCATGCGGGGCAGCCACTCAGGCGTACATTTCTCAGCCTTATGAACTTCAACAAATGAATTTATGCTTTCACGGAAATACCCTCTAGCTTCACGCACATCACGGTCTGCATGGCGCACAGCCATCCGAGACCTCCAGACACTGTGCAGGCCCAGCAACATAACAAGATCGAATGGGGCGCCTCCCTCGTTTTCTACCGGCAGGTACCTGATCCCATGGGAGTCAAGTGGTAATTCTTTTTCCAAAGTGCGCTGTAGGACATCCCAATGAAAGACGCCATCCCAACACTCCAAAAAGGCGTGTTCAATAGTCTCTGGCTTTTGACATAAGAAACAATGAACACCCCACGGGACAAACAAGCCCCTCTCCTCCATTCATGTTTTATTCGGTAAGGTGCCGGTATGTAATTTAAAAAAAGAAAAAAAAAACGACTTGACCCTCTGTGGTACTCTCATCTTTTTCACACGTTTCAACACGTCCTGTCCTGGGCCTGCACAGTATAAGGTCCTGTACAAGGGAACAGCAAAAAAAACTTCGGAAACATCTTTATAGAACCGCTTACGTGTTACTGCGCTCAAATGCTTAATAAAAAATGGCCGCCAAAAAGCGGCATGATGCGACTACTTCTTTGAGGTACCCATGAATACCACCGGTCACGCTTGACGAGGAAACAATAAACTCAGGCAAACATCGACCTAATCTTACTTGACAAACAGTACGCAAGAACGGATCACTAGCCATCACGAAAATAACAAAAACGATTTACTATTTGGCGCAAAAACAAGCGGGATAAGCCTAGTCCTCCTTCGCGAACTCTTCGAAAAAGGTTCATTCTGCTCGTTCGCTCCCAAGAAGCCCCAAATGAACACCGCGAAAACACGATGCAGTTTTTGCACGTTCACACGAGAAGAGTTTAACGCCTGAAAAACGTAATACAGTTTGCTCACAAGAAATAAATTGCAAAATCGAAAAACCGTTACCCCTCCATGGTCACGTCGTACGCCACCCAATACCACTTCACCCTCACTTCTTGCCTGGTCGGTTCCACGACGAGGCGCGTCTTCTCCTTGACGAGGAGCTGCCCGGCGTCGAGCAGCTTCTTCTTCGCTTCGTCCGACCGCATATCGAGGAGCTAGACATGCGACATCTGGTATGCCCAGATTCCGGCCACCTCCGGGATCACTCCGATGTCTTTCAGCGGCTTCCGAAAATCTTCAATCCTGTAGGGCCTTCCGGAGATGTCGCTGTGCAGAATAATTGCACGCTTCATCGCCTCGCCGGCGGGCAACGGTACCAGAACGATCCTATATTCCTTTGATACAGAAGAAGCCGAGTCACCGCGGCCCTCAGCGGCCACTATCGCTGCTCGCACGGAGCCCATTCTGCGTCCGCTCCTGTCGGCAGCCGGAACCAGAATGAGCAGGAATAATTAGCGTCTGCGCTGAGCATGAACCTTCTGCAGCGTGCATTTTGCACAACCGAATTCGATTTTCTCAGCAAGAATAAATC